ATCAGTATCTTTCTAACAACTTCAGAGTTTCTCCTGAGACACCAGATTCAACAAAGTCATTTAACAAACTTGGGCTAATGCAATGACTTATGATGTAGGTTAGGTAAGTTACTAACCAAAACCTAGGATGATTGAATCTGGTTCTAACCTGCACTCCAATCAAAGACGATATATAAACAGTATTTATACTCATTATATTCAAGTATTATAGAAAATAAATGCTACCCGGAAATAAGAGCTCCTCTTTATCATGGAGTTGAGGAACAAAGATAACATTCATTACATTACAGTGAACAGTACACTATCGGTATCCTAAAGGAGAATTTAAAAACAGTAATGGACAAATAAAAAGATACAATAAAGTAAATACTAACTGTAGAATCTACATGTTCAGTATGAGTGTTCATTGTAAAAATCTTTCAACTTTTTTGTATGCTTGAAAATTTTCATAACAATTAGCATTATACAGGTCTACTGAATTGTAGGGTGCTTTATAATTCAAGTTAACTGCCATATTGTCTTTCTCTAATAGCACTAAGTTTGCAAAGTAAACAAATTGAGGGAAAAAATATGATTCAGTCACTGGAGAATATTAATCTTTCCGTTATTTCTGAGAGCACATATGCACTGATTAATAAGATATCACGATGAAGAGAACTTTTAACATTTTCTCTCATACCCCAAAGCACCCAAAACTTATTGAGAGCATAAAAATCAGAGACAGATCATAGGCAGACTAGTAAGTTTCCTCATATTCATAATAACTGTGTCAGAGCCTATAATGCAATTCCTTATTCTAAGTTGCTACGACCAATGTCGTCTTTATGCAAACTACTCGTGGCAGTATGTGGTGTGCAGTATTATTCAAGTTAGCCCTCAACGTATGAATACTCTAAAGAAAGAAAAAGTTCCAAAGTGGTTGCTGACAGAGCCTAACTCCCCCAGGACATGTCTCAGGAAACCCAGGATTACTACCTATAGGAGCCACCACACTCACCCAATGGGAGAAGGTCCAATCCCATCATCCAACCCAGCAGCTCAAGGCACCCCTTTCACCTCCTCCCTGAGTGTCCCTATAACATAGAATGATCTCAAGAGCTCAAGGCTAGGAAAGTTTTAAATTACAATGAAATCAGTGACAGTATACAGTAAGTCCCCTACATATGAATGAACAAGTTCGTCATAAGTCAGTCTAATTTGTTCCTAAGTCCAACAAAGTTAGCCTATGTACCCAGCTAACACAATCAGCTACATAGTACTGTACTGTAATAGGTTTATAATACTTTTCACACAAATAATACATAAAAAACAAACACAAAAAATAAAGAAAACATTTTTAATCTTACAGTACAGTACCTTGAAAAGTACAGTAGTACAGTACAACAGCTGGCATACAGGGGCACGTTCCCATCTTTGAAAGTTCCCAACTTGAAGGTTCGTATGTAGGGACTTACTGTACCTGTTCTGAAGTGCATTTGGACTGCTGTTGCTAATGATTCCATAAAGTGCCTTGTTAAGATTTAGGGATGTTTCTGATCTAAAATTTGTTTTGTTACCCATTTTGTCTTCTTCAGAACTGAGGTCAATAGCCTCTTTTTGTCATCTGCAAAGTGAAGAAAAACATGGAGACCTCAAAGTACAGGAAGTAGTCCCCAACTTACAAACAGCTTATGTTCCAAAGGTTTATCACTCCTTTGCAAACATGTTTGTACTAATTAACCTATTTATACCATAGTTTCTATGAAAAACTGCAACCCAATTTTCAATTCTAAATTGCAGCTTTCTGCCCTGCAAAAAGGCATCTGCTGCCCTTTTACAGCTAACTGCAGCCAGAACTCAAAGCTCAGAGAAGTCTCCTTCTAGGGCTCCAAGGAGAACCCCCTACAACCTGTGCAGGCAGGGAAAAATGCAACTCTTTTATAGGGAGCTTTTCCATTGTCTCTATGGGAAAAGCTACCACAATTTAACAAGATAATGGTTATGGGAAAAGCACCTGGTTAATATGAAAGTATTAATAATTACAACAAAAATAAGTAGAAACTACATTCTGCTCCAGATAAAAAGAAGATAAAATTAGGTGCTGTTAAACTAGTTGGTCAACCAAATGTTTGCCAAGTACAGACAACAAATTCTCAAACTGTGTCCTCATGTCTGATCAAGTCAACTGATAAGGGAGGAAATTACTAAAGTGAAGTGGTGGAGATCATTACCAAAAATGCGACAAAGTTCTAAAAAAGTGCAGTGTACTTTAAAATTCAATAAATACTATTGAACATCACATACCAACCCTTATAACAACTGGTAAGATTTATAAAATAACTTGAATGACAAACTTAAAAAACAAGTATAACTTTGTGACAATGAGTCACCTTTGGCAGCTAACTAGAGTCTTACGCAATTTAAGTACTAATGTTAAAATTTACAGAAATAACTCACAATCAAACAGAGAAAGTAAACTTTTCACTAAAAAGATTTCAGAAGTGAAGCCGGTACAGAGACATGAAAAAAAGGGATCAGGGAAAGCCAGAATAAATTGGTTTGTGGGTACACAACCTGAGAGGAACATTTAAACATTATTAAAGGTTCATGTTACTACTACATGTTAAAACAGTAATATGAGAGACTCCCAAGATAGTATAACACTAGAATGCTTGTAGAATCAAAGTGCTGGTACTATTAGTAGCTTTGAAGAAAAACCACTTTTAAAATTCAAATTTTTCAACAGGAATGGATTATAAAAATAAGATGCCTAACTGAGATCTTTGAAAGACATGAAAAAAACATAAGTGAGCAAACAAGGGATTTTTTTTTTTGACTGAAAATTCTCTCAAGTCACCTGAATTATACTTAAGACATTAGATTTATACTGGCAAATCTCCATTAACAATAAAGGATAGGGACAATTCCTTTATTATAAAAGGCTATTTACTACTAGTCAGAATTACCTAACATTATAAACATAAACACATAAACACAAGCCGAAAACCTACATTAAGTAGGTCTTTAAGACTGAAGAGGTTTTATACCTTTACAGTATATGAATTAAAATTCGAATGTAGAATGTTATTCGTTCTACTAAAGGATGTTTCTGAAATGTGTTTTATACACAGAAAGATGCAAACAAATTTTTGTGTGACGGTTATGCTCTCCAAGCATATTCTTGAAACTAGAGAAGAAATCAACTTTTTTTTGCCATATTGGAAAAAAAAAAAAACTTATCTGTGAAGCAACCCGATAAGACTTTTCATGATTATAATACTCAATTTTAGTAGAAACTCTGGCTCACTTGATGCAGATTTTTAATCTTCCTTAAAAATTAGGAAAAATATCAATCATCTCATCATTCAGTTGTGAATTTTTCTGCAATTCTTAATTTAAGCCTCAATGTTACTACTAAACATTATGCAGACTTCTGTTTATAAAAATGATACTCTCCAGAAATATTATTCACAATTTTTGTTACCCGTAATGTTTGATCAACCATGCACTTCTGCTCTTGTAAACTGAAAAAACACAACTTTCTCTTTTTACATGTTCAGCAAAACATTAGCAGTTTTCATTTTCTGGTGTCAATTTCATTTTTTTTTATCTAATTTGCTTATGTGTTTCAAAACTAAGACTAAGAAAACTCTGTCTAGTTCATAAGCGTCACAGTTATTTATTTTCTTCTGTGATTCCAAGTAACATAGAAGTTTTTTTAAAAAAAAATCAAACCTCTAAAATGGAATGGAAACGTTTCATGGAAGCATGTCACAGCTGTTAACTGTCTACCTAAATTGGACTCTCCAGAAGTGGACCCCTCTGGTGTTCAACACATGATGCACTACCAATTTTTCTATCTGTAACAGAACTTCAATTGGTATTTTAATATATGGGTAACTCACTCCCCCAAATATTTATTATCCATATATTTAGTAACTCTCAAGAAGATTCTCTCTCTGTACTTCCAATGACAAATACCCTCAAGTTTAGTTGGGCCTAATTATAAGGAAGTAAGATGAACTCAAGGGTGATGGGTCAAGAAGATGAATTCAGTCAGTTTGAAAGGCATAGACTAGGGCTAAAACAAAACACAAAGAAAACTTAACCCAGGTTGGTCAAGTTGGAAAAAAAAATTAAACACTCTTCCTATCTAAATAATTCACAGACCAGTGAATGAAGTTAGCTAAATTAGCTAGTGCTCTTTATGCGGTAATTTCCTAAAACATTCAGGTCAATCCCTGATACCATGTGAAACTTCAGTATTACAATCCAGGGCTCCCCATCACTATGGTACTGTTTGTTCTCTAATCCACAAACCTTCCTGCAAAGACCAATAAAGGAACTAATGCAACGCTTTCGGATATTGTGCATAACATACTGAGGGTGACAGTTTGGCTCACAGAGTAATGAGCCAGCTCTAAAAAGTAGCCCAAGATAATTGTGGACCGGTGAGGTGCAGAGTGCACTTAAAGGCTTGAAAAAAAAGCCACTCTTGAAAATACCTAACATTAAATAAGCGTCCCTAGCTTTCAGATCACTTTTAGGGATCTTATTTCCTTTCCTCCAACACCTCACTCCCTCGCTTTTTCCCTTCCCGTCTGAGAGCCAAGAGAGACACGGTAAAAGCGTGCAACCGCGAGGCTGCGCCGACGAGGCTCCTGCACATCTGGACTCACCTCCAACTGCAACAGGGCACCCCCTGGGCGAGCCCATCCCAACCGGCCGAAAACGTGCGCGAGAGGCTGAGAGCAGGCGAGAGCCGCGGGCGGGGAGGCGGGTAGTCCGCCCGGCGCGGCGGGTCAGGCTCCGCGGGCCGAGGCGGCTACGAAGAGAAGCGTTCGCCCTCCTGCAGACTCGCCCGACCCGGGTCAAGGTCCCGCTCGGGCCCCGACGCCCCGCCTCGAGCGGCGCGGGGGAAACTTCGCTTGCAGGCGGGGGCGCGCCCGAGCTCGGGACCGGTGGCGGGGGCCCGGGCCCGGGCCCGGGCCCGCGGCGGGGGAGGGGCGGCGGGCACTTACCACGGGTCGAACTCGTGGATGATGCTTTCGAAGCGGATGACGGCGAAGAGGCGCGAGCTGAAGCCAGCGAGCCAGGCCAGGAAGAGGATGGTGAAGGAAAGCAGCGACTGCCAGCCGGCCGGCTGCGACAGCCCCCCGGACAGCCCCGCGGGGGCCGGCTTCGGTGCCGCGCCGCCCGCCGCCTTGTGCGCGCACTGGGCCCCGGGCCCGTGGTGGCCGTGCCGGCTGTTCCCCAGGGCCATGAGGCCGCTCCACGGGGATGAGTTGAGGGACGACTTGTGCTTGCTCTCCGGGGCCGAGGGCTCCGCCATGTTGTGCCCCGGCGGCGGGTCTCGCTCCGCGCCGCCGCCGCCGCCGCCGCCGCCGCCTGGTCCGAGGGGTGCTGGGCGGGGACCCGGAGGAAGAGGAGGAGGAGGAGGAAGAAAGAGGAGGAGGAGGGAAGAGAGCCGCGCGCGCCTGCCCTTAGCGCCGCGAGGCCGGGGTACGGGGGGTGGAGGCGGCGGCGGGGAGTCTCCGCCTCAGCAGCGGCCGCGACCGCCGCTCTCTCAACTCGGATGGCCCCTGCTCCCCTCTAGCCATCCGTCTTCCCAGTGCAGTTGCGGCAGCGGCGAAAGCCGACGGGACGAGGGCGCCAGAGAAAGAGCAGGAGCAGACGGAGGCGGCACCACGGCTTGGAGCAGCAATGACATTCGCCCCACACCCGCCGCCCGCCCCGCCGTGAGGAGCAGGAGGAGGAGTCCCCCGGAGTCCGGGCGGAGCTCAGGCTACCTCTGACTCCGCCCCCGACCCAACAGGAACTGGCCCCTACGCCTGTCACAATGCGACAGGTCCGTTAGGGGGCGGGCCCAGTACCGCGGTGCCGGCCAATGGGGGCGCGAGCTGGGGCGGGGCTTGGCCCAACCGTTCTCCCCTCCCCCTCCCGGCCTAGCGCTCGTTCGCCCGGAGCGGCCTGGCAGCGCGGTTACTGCTTCATTGTCAGTTGAAAGACGTAGTTTCGCGCGCCTGTATTTGCGGCCAGGAGGGGCGCTAGGCGACTCCGCGCGTTGCTTGGAGCTGAGCCGGGCCAAGGAGGCGGGACGTGGTCGAGGACAGACGGGCGGCCTCCTTTAGAACCAGTTTAGGGAACGCCGGGAGCGCCGCGCCGACTGGCCGGGCGCCCGCGGGCGCTCCGAGGTCGTGACTTTTAACCCGCTTTGCGCGGAGCGCCCATCACGTGACCGGGCGCGCAGGCGCGCAGTCCAAGTGCCCCGCGCGTGGGTCTGGCGCGTAGGGATCTGCCGCCTGGGGCTCCCCGCTCCCGGCGCAGGGAATCAGCAGCCCGCGGCCGCGCCACGAGCAGCCCAGCGAGCCGCGCCTGGCGGCCTGTCTCCGAAGTCGCGGGCGAGGGCACGTTTGCCGGCGCTGGGAACTCTTCGGAGCCGGCAAACAAGCCCCAAGCTCGGGAACGACCCCGTGGGACAAGCGAAGTGCGACTTTCTCCGGCTTTTTTCGCTTCTTGTATTTTCCTGATTGCAAAGATAACGTTTGTTCACTGGAAATGTGGGCAAATGTAGGAAATTGTTAACAGTTGCATACATTCCATCAGACGAGTGAAACTTTCTGTGGACTTTAAGCTGTTACCCAATCCTCTCTTCATTAGGTGATAGCGAACTGCAGATCCCTGTACACGAATTTTTGCACGTCTAGTTTGTATTTTTACACCTTGCTCCCCCTTTACCCAGTCCCCTGCCCCCCAAAAGAAAGTGCTACCCGGTAGACTAAACTCAAAGCAAAATGAGTTTAAATATAAGTGGAGTAATCAACTTTATTTCAATAAAAAATTTATATATATATATAATATATGGAGACTAGAAGTGCTCTTGATATAAGCCCCAGGAAAGGCACGGAGCTTTCAGTATGATCAACACTCCGTAAATACTTGATTAACTTTTCATGTAAATTAACATTTACGTAAAATTGTCCATTTTGTTAGGTAAATAACATCTGAACTTAAAAGCGTGTATTCGCGTAATATTATAAAGGCACTCAATTATTAAGTCATTAAAAAATTTAGTAAAGAAAATGTAAACACATTTAGAAGTTGTGTTTAAATAGTAGGTCTTTTCAAAATGTTAGCTAAATGAATAAGTAGCCTTAGTTAGCGGCTGCTCTTTGAAACAACTGGACCCAGCTACGTACTCAACCTGCTAGGTGATTAACTTTTCTCTCATTTCCTTACAAAATTAAATAAATAGTCTCATTAAGGAAAGGATGAAAAGGTTTCCAGAAATAGACTTTCCCACTAATGATTTAATAGCCGACATTTATTGAACATCTAAATTTTAATGAGAATTATGATAGAATATTAACTGAGTCCTGTTGTACCAGAATTCTAGGTGACTTGCTCTATGTCAGAGCCCAAACCTTCTAGGCTAAAATGCCAGCATTTAGAGAACTTGTGCCCGTGTTCCATGAACCAAAGTTTTATCAGCCTAAAATAAATCTTATTTTGTATTTTTATTTGGATATCTCTATTTTATTGTCTTTTGTGTAGATACTGCCTATTAAGTTGTACGTTATCTTCTTTTGCTTCCTTTTTGGTTGTTTAATGGCCAGAGCCCTGGTCTGAAAAGTGACAAAGCTTGGTTCTGGTCCCACTTTTTTGCTCACTAGCCGTGTAACATTGGACAAGTCACCTGCATGGGTTACCCTTTCTACTCTTCAAGTCAATTATTAATATCAAATTAGATCGCTTATCTGGAAATATTTTGAAAATTTGTTAAGGTACATATGCAAATACAGAGTAGCCGTGAGGGTAAAAGCAGCAGGGAAAACTCCTGTTATTCTGTTTTTTTTTCCCCCATTTAACATCTTTATTGGAGTATAATTGCTTCACAATGGTGTGTTAGTTTCTGCTTTATAACAAAGTGAATCAGTTATACATATACATATATCCCCATATCTCTTCCCTCTTGCGTCTCCCTTCCTCCCACCCTCCCTATCCCACCCCTCTAGGTGGTCACAAAGCACCAAGCTGATCTCCCTGTGCTATGCGGCTGCTTCCCACTAGCTCCTATTTTACATTTGGTAGTGTACATGTGTCCATGCCACTCTCTCACTTCTTCCCAGCTTACCCTTCCCACTCCTCGCGTCCTCAAGTCTCTACATCTGCGTCTTTATTCCTGTCCTGCCCCTAGGTTCTTCAGAACCATCTTTTTCTTTAGATTCCATATATATATGCTAGCATATGGTATTTGTCTTTCTCTTTCTGACTTACTTCACTCTGTATGACAGAGTCTTAAGTCCATCCACCTCACTACAAATAACTCAATTTGGTTTCTTTTTATGGTTGAGTAATATTCCATTGTATATATGTGCCACATCTTCTTTATCCATTCATCTGTTGATGGATGCTTAGGTTGCTTCCATGTCCTGGCTATTGTAAATAGTGCTGCAATGAACATTGTGGTACATGACTCTTTTTAAATTATGGTTTTCTCAGGGTATATGCCCAGTAGTGGGATTGCTGGGTCGTATGGTAGTTCTATTTGTAGTTTTTTAAGGAACCTCCATACTGTTCTCCACAGCGGCTGTATCAATCTGCATTCCCACCAACAGTGCAAGAGGGTTCCCTTTTCTCCACACCCTCTCCAGCATTTATTGTTCATAGATTTTTTGATGATGGCCATTCTGATGGGTGTGAGGTGATATCTCATTGTAGTTTTGATTTGCATTTCTCTAATGATTAATGATGTTGAGCATTCTTTCATGTGTTTGTTTGCAATCTGTATATCTACTTTGGAGAAATGTCTATTTAGGTCTTCTGCCCATTTTTGGATTGGGTTGTTTGTATTTTTGATACTGAGCTGCATGGGCTGCTTGTAAATTTTGGAGATTAATCCTTTGTCAGTTGCTCATTTGCAAATATTTTCTCCCATTCTGAGGGTTGTCTTGTTTATGGTTTCCTTTGCTGTGCAAAAGCTTTTAAGTTTCACTAGGTCCCATTTCCTTATTTCCATTTCTCTAGAAGGTGCGTCAAAAAGGATCTTGCTGTGATGCACATATGGTCACCTTATCTTTGATAAAGGAAGCAAAAATATACAGTGGAGAAAAGACAGCCTTCACAGTCTTCAATAAGTGGTGCTGGGAAAATGGACAGCTACATGTAAAAGAATGAAATTAGAACACTCCCTAACACCATACACAAAATAAACTCAAAATGGATTAAAGACCTAAAGGTAAGGCCAGACACTATTAAACTCTTAGAGGAAAACATAGGCAGAACACTCCATGACATAAATCTTGTTATTCTTTTTTTTTTTTTTGCGGTATGTGGGCCTCTCACTGTTGTGGCTTCTCCCGTTGCGGAGCACAGGCTCCAGACGCTCAGGCTCAGCAGCCATGGTTTACGGGCCCAGCCGCTCCGCAGCATGTGGGATCTTCCCGGACCGGGGTACGAACCCGTGTCCCCCGCATTGGCAGGTGGACTCTCAACCACTGCGCCACCAGGGAAGCCCAATCCTGTTATTCTTGATCTTCACTCACTCACTCACTCGCAGATTCATTCAAGTATTCATTGAGCTCCTCCTTTGTGCCAGGCTCTATGTGGATCATGGGATGCAGGAGGGAACATGAGGGATGTGGTTCCAGCCCTAGGGAGGTGGACATTGAACCATCACATTCCTAAGTACCAAAAATGGAATGTGGCAAATACAGTGGAAGGGAGATACACAGGGGATTTGATTTTCAGAAGATGAGAATATTACCCTTAGCAAGCAGCACTAGGGCTGAGGACTGGGGGTGAGAATGAATGGACCAGGGGAAGAAGAATGGAAAGAATTTCCAGACAGAGAAGCACATGCAAAGGCCCTGCCGTGGGGCTGGGTAGGCAAGTGCAAGGAACTCAGAAAAGGGCCAGTATGGCTGCAACACAGATAGTGGAACAATGTGGGATAGGAGTTGAAGAAATGGCCAGATAGTGTGGATCATGTTAAAAGGTGTTTTTTGTTTTGTTGTAACTGCAGAGTAGTACGGAACCATGAAGGGATTTAAGCAGGATGTGGTGTGTGTGATATGGCGTGAGAGATGATCATTGTGCGGTTTGAAAAGATTACTGGTGTGCAATGTGGAAAGCACCTTGGAGAGGGGACCAGTGAGAGATCTCATCAGTCTATGAGGGCCAATATCCGAGATTTCCGAGGTTCCTTCCGTGAGGAATGCATTACTGAAGAACTACTAAGGAACCCATAGACGTAAATTGCAACACAGTTCATTCTCAGTTTCCAGCTCACCAACATAGAAAAATGGTTTCCAGTTTGTGCATGAAGCTTGG